CTTTCTAAGGTATATTGAGCTTACGTCAAACCAGTTCGGACCCGACAGACAGGGTGCAATGATTATGTCCCGTTAACCTTTTCCCTGCCAGATTCTTTTTACAATCGTACCTAAAAGAAAGCACGTCTTAAACAAAGCAATGAAAAGGTTAATGATCAAAATTGTACCGATAGGGACGTAAAGACTTCAGTCTCGCTTTAATAAGATGGAATGAGCTACCCAAACTGCAAACAAGGTCGTTGACCTACACGCCCTGAGGTCTGAATGTCCCTAGATTGACCCCAGCAAATCTCCCTCCGGCACTGACTTATATGATCTTATGGTGTTGCAAGTGCCGTAAAACTCTTACTAAAACTAAAACTATAAGCTCCCTCAGATCTATCATTATGGGGCTCTTTAAAATGGGCTAAACCCTGTCCAAAAATTGACAGGTATAGCTTTCGGAAATTGAAAATCGGTTATCACCATTGCATTTCTCATTCTGGGTCAGGGTATGGACTACAGAGCAAACATTTTCCTCATTTCCCTTTCCCATCGTAGCCACTTGATATTTTTGCCTTTACTTTTCTCCGAATAGCTCTATGAAATTCGTTAGGTCAACGCCCAGACAAAAAAAGTTCCTGCTCTGAGGAAGTAAACAAACATAAAAATGTTACCGCTACTATCTAAACGTGATTTGGTACATAAATATTTTAGATGGTTCTTTTTAGATTCGTAATCTGTATATTTACTGGGGTGTGGGGTTGTAATTTTTTGCTGTTCGTTTGTTTTTGTTTTGTTTTGTTATTTTGTTGTTATTTTTCATTTCATCTTGGATTTGTTCATTTGCTCGATTTTTTTTTCCAAGGTGACTAAATCTCCAAGCCACTTATGTATTCACTCTACCTGGACTTCAAAAGCAGATCGGAAATAGATTCCAGTTTTTCTACGTTGGACAAGAAGTCAAGATGTTGTTTACATTCCTGAACAGACAACACGAGGCCTACGAAATATGTTTTTGTTATGCAGTTTGAGATTGGATGCTTTTCTGTTCTTTTTGTTTGTTTGTTTTTTTAACTGCATCTTCTTCAGGTGCCAGATCTGGAGCCGACAATGAGGATCCTGGTACCTTATTCTTTTCTGTTGTCTGTCTTCCTGATCAGCTGTCTTTTTTCATTGTCCTATACCATTGCAAAGTTGTGTATTTGTTGTCTGATCTCCTCTCCTCTTCTTTCTCTTCTTTCCACACAATTTCTTTAGTCCATTTGATCTATTTATGAGAACCTCAATTGTCTTTTTCTGATGTATTTGATGATTATACATCTTTCACAACCTGCCGTTTTGAGCAAAAGATTATGGTGTCTTCCTCACTGTCGTTGGGATTCTGAGTATTCTCCTAACGTTACACATGCACTCTATTAGCTTGTAAAAGATTATCGTTTTGTGACAATTGCAGGAAGAAACAGTATCTTCAAGTTGGGTAAGGCGCGACTTCTTCCGTAAATGTCTCAAACTTTACATCTGTTCCACTTCTTCATTATGTCTGTCCAGAGGAATAAAACTTATAGAGCAATCAAAAATTCGTGGCGCAACTTATCCTCAAATATATTTTTAACGGTTGACTCATTGTCACCCATACTTTGCACAGCAGTTTGTACCAATTTATCTTAACTTAATCATATTATTCCCCAACAATTGATGCTAGATTTAAAAACGGTTCGTCTTTAGACCTAATTTTATAAAATACTACAAAGCTCCTTCATACGGAAAATGTAATAAATTGTTCACAGGACTTCCCACTTCTTACTCACATTTTGTATACGCATATGTCTTACGTCACAGCTCACCCATGACACGTTTTATTGACAAAACTAGTTACAAGGGGTTGATTTTATAGTGAACACATATTTGCACTAAAAGTTATCATATCACGTGTTCAATAAAGATAATCTCGCGATCAGAAAAAAATGAGGGACTTGCTTGTAAGAGTGATATTGTCCCAGCTGTAAACCTCTTAAAATCAATAGAAACCACCCACGTGGATTTTTATTAGTATTTACTAAGGAATTTTCTAGAATAGAGCTAACAGGTGTTTACCAATATATTGATCTGTTAAGACCAATAACATTGATACACATCACTGTGCAAAAGGTGGAGAGTTTATGTTCGATAGTTGAGGAGATATTTGACAATAAGTTGCGCCACGAATTTTTGACCGCACTATAAGGTTTTCTACGCTTTAAGGATTTACATTACTTGTGTTATATATGTCTTTTTTTTTCACACTGAAGCTTACTGCTTTTGTCTGCCGTGTGTTATTCTTTCTGTTCTACATTCGCGTGAGTGTCTGTCTGCCTGCCTCCACATCTTGCAATTCTCGGCACCTCATCGCTTTTATCTTTTTCAAAATATTACGTATAAAAGATTTTTTTTCGCCGCTGTTACGTTGCATGTTGATGTTTTTCACACTTTACTACAATTTCCTGTTTCCAAATTTTAAGTTTAAATAGGATGGCAAAGGAAACAAATTGTGTAGAAACCTCTCTATTATCTCTAGCCCATCCCTGCTTGCCATCATTGGCGTAGTAGTTTTATTTAGAAAAGGGTGTCGGTTTTACAAAAACTTTGAGTCATTTTTACCTTTATTTTAAAAACAGAAATGGGAAGAACAGAAGATAGATAGACAAATAGATAGATAGATATACAGATAGATAGATAGATAGATATACAGATAGATAGATAGATAGATAGATAGATAGATAGATAGATAGATAGATAGATAGATAGATAGATAGATAGATAGGTAGAGAGAGAGAGAGACAGAGAGAAAGATGGAGAGAGAAAGGTAGAGAGAGATATAAATAGAGAGATAGATAGACATATAGATTAAATTTGAAGAACTTGTTCGACAATAGAAACCAGTGTGCCAAGGTATTTCTCCTTATGGTAGGGCAATGCCCCACTTTTGGTGCAGGTCGATTTCTGGAAACCCCCGAAATCTGGGTTAGTCCGCTTGTCCTTAAACGCGACCATTTGGTTTCTGACCTCAAAATAGCCAAAATCGTTAGATAGAACTTTAAAAAATCTAAAGTAGCGATCTGTTGCTAGATCTAGTTCCAACTGTGTCCGGTCGAATTTCCTGAAAAAGGCAGGTTTTGCTGTATGAGATAAAGCTTGTGTGAGAGTTTTCCAGTACACTAAGGGTGGAAATCGGGGTCGGTCACGGCAAATGATGAATCAACAGAACCCCAAATTACACTTGAGATGATATTTGCATTTAGCAATTTTGTTTGTAAAATCTATATATAGACACACACACACACACACACACACACACACACACACATACACACATACACATACACACACACATACACATA